CACAGTATTGTTATCCCATCAAGTAGTTGCTTGCTGCTTAGGTAATAGGGCTAGCCAGAAGACATCTTGACAGCTGTTTTGCTGCAGTCCTAACTCTGAGGTAGTATGGTCTAAGCTTAAGCCTATCATGTCTTCAGCACCTGGAATCCAGAGACCTTCAATGCAGTGAAAGGATCAGGAAGGAAGAGAGAATGGTCTCACTGACAACCCCTTCAGTTCTTATTTCTCCTGGGGCTCTCATGATCTCCTGTTGTGGACAAATAGGCAGCTGGGGATAGTGGTGCAGTGGGTAGAAGTCTGACACTTGAGTTAGGAAGACCTGAGTTTAAATCCTGCATCAGACTGGGTGACCTGGGTGAGTTACTTAACCTTTGTCTACCTCAGTTTCCTCATCAGTTGTTCATTCTTCATTTTGAAGAATGACATCCCAGGGTGATGTCTTGACTTGAGAGTGAATTGGATTTAAATGAGGCAGAGTTGGGCAATTAATCAGCCTCACTCTCTTCCTGAGTCACCAGAGTCCAGTGGCAGGACAAAAGTCACTGCTAGCCATGGCCGGGGATACATCACTGACAAGCCTCAAACCTGTTGGTGAATTAGGAGGGTGTCTAGCCAAGCATGTGAAGACTTTCCCCTGGGAAATGGGTGGATGAGAACAATTTGTTCCAATAGCCATGAAGGTGGCTGAAGCAGACACTGTGGAGACTTAGAGATTCCTCATCAGTAAAATGCAGATAATAGCACCTACCTGCCATGGTTTTTGTGCGGTATAGTAAGGTAATATTTGTAAAGCACTTTATACACCTTAAAGTGCTATATCAATGCTAGCTCTTACTATTATTATTCCTTCTCTGGCTGTGCAAAGACAGGTGGCATAGTATGCTTAAGAGAGATCTGCTAGAATCTGTATCAGAGAATCTGCTGGTCATCTTCCAAGGTGACCCCTTCTCATAGTGTGACAGTCCAGCACAACTGTCTCCTGGGGGAGATTCCTCTTCTCCATAGATTTAGAAATGCTTTGGTGGTCCTGGGAGAGCAGATTGGTTTGCCTTTTTCAGGCTTCATCCTTAATTTGGCAATTCACAACAATATAATGATGATTAGAGGTAGCTAAGTGGCTTACTGGGTCTGGAGTCAGGAAGACCTGAATTCAAATCCAGCCTCAGACACTTACTCGCTGTGTGATGCTGGGCAAGTCCTTTAATTTGTCTTTCTCAGTTTCTTCAAATGTAAAATGGGGATAATAACAGCACCTACCTTGTAGGGCTGTTGTGAAGATCAAATGAGTTAATATTTGTAAAGCACTTAGTACTGTGCCTGGCACAGAACAGATGCTATATAAATGTTTTTTCCCTACCATTCCTTCCTCAATAATGATTTATATAGATATAATATGTAAACACATGTTATATATAAACATATGAATATATATAAATAAAATTATAAAATTAATATATGAAATAAATATATAAATACAAATATATAAAATACAGATATATTATATGTGTAAATAAATAAAAACAAACATGTTATATATAAATAAATAATTTACATATAAAATATAAATATGTAGTTATATACATATAATATGTAAACACATTATATATAAACATATAAATAAATAAAATTATAAAATTAATACATAAGTACAAATAAATACACCAATACATATATGTTATATATAAATAAGCAATTTCTATATAAAATATAAATGTATAATTATATACATATATGTAGACATATGTTTTATATATAAACACACACACACACATATATATGTATTTGCTAAGTGCTTTACACATGCTATTTCATTTGATTCTCATAACGACCCCATGAGGCAGTATCCTCCTGAGGATACTGAAGCTGGGGAAACTGAGGGTGACAGAGGTTAAGTGACTTGCCTAGTTAGAGGTAGGATTTGACCTGATTCTAAGTCCATCATTCTACCCTGTTTCTACTAACATCCTCTACATTTTAAGTTTTGGGCATTTCCTTCCAGATCCTCAATTCATTCCCTGAGTTCTCAGTTCCCAAAAGAAACCAGAAAATGTGAAGGAAAGTTTCACCTATTTTGATGTTACATATAGAAAGGCAAGTGGTGTATTGGCAAGTGCACTGGCCTTGGAGTCAGGAAGACCTTTGATCAAATTCTTTTACCCTTGGGAAGCTTGTTAACCTCCTTGAGCTTCAGTTCCCTTATTTATAAAATGAGATAATAATACTGATGTGATCCAAGCACCCCATCAATACTATCTACCTTCAGGGTTTATTGTATGAGAAAATGAACTTTAAAGTTCATCAAGATTAGCTATTATCATTACACCTCTCCTCTTGAGCTCCATTGCTATTTCCTCCCACTTATATTGGAGTTGTGGAGTCCAAATTCTAGAAAATCCTCTCTTGCTGTTGCTTGAGAAGTTGCCTAATGCGCACCTTACATTAAAGTTTATTAGCTGGTTTTAGGCCTTAGAGTCTGAGGGATTGGAGGCAGTTTCAGCTCTTCCTTCTCCTTAAAGCCTGGTGCACAGCTGTGTCCTTAATTAAGCAAGTCTAGGATGTGCCGGTCATGCCGTGCACTCTCCTTCTAACGGGAGCAGGCTGCCAAGGTCATACTTACCAGTCTTTGGAGCCCACCCAGATAAACACAGAGACGAGCCGATCGGGAGGTGCAAGCACTCAAACTTTATTCAGAGGCCATCACAGCAAGGCCGAGCAGGAAAGCAGAGCAAGAGAGCAGGAGCAAGAGAGAGCGAGCTCCCACCCCTACTGCCCCTATATACCTTCCTAGCCCCTCCTCCTCAGCCCGCCTACCAGTGAATGATTGTAGGATCAGATACTGGAAGGGGATGTCTGGGGTTAGCACTGCATGAAAGGAGAGGACGTGACAAAGGAAGCTAGGCCCAGATACCAGAAGGAGGCGTCTGGGGTTAGCGCTGCACAAAGGGAGAGTATGTGACACAGGAAGCTAGGCCTGGATACAGGAAGGAGACGTCTGGGGTTAGCGCTGCACAAAGGGAGAGTACGTGACGCAGGAAGCTAGGCCCGGATACCGGAAGGAGACGTCTGGGGTTAGCGCTGCACCTAGGGAGAGGACTAGACAAAGGGAGCTCGTTCTCTGCCATCCCACTCCCACGTGGCACAGCCCCCTGCCTCAGGAGCACATGCTCCGGCTACTTCCCCGTATCCTGTTCCTACCCCAGTTCACCACAACTCCACATGGCACAGCCCCCTGCCTCGGAGCGTGAGCTCCAGTTACTTCCTAATATGTTGTTCCTGCCCCATCTTGCCACAACCCCCACGTGGCACGTAGCCAACATCAGACAATCCCTCACATAGGATATATCTAGACTCCAATTTCCCTATCTTCAAATCGAGGGAGTTGGATTAGACGAATGTAAAGCTTCTTCTAGCTCTAAAATTCTATGATCTACCCCATGATTTCTAATTTATATAGCCAGCCCAGCCTAAGTAGGGTGCTCATGATAGCAGAAGTATCCCCTTCCTCTGGGAGATCAGTTTCATCAGCCAAAGTCTAGGGAATTGTAGCGAAAAGTATTTTTAAATTTGGAGTCTGTCAATAACATTTATTAAACCCCAACTGTGTGCTTAATAAACGTTGGGGATACAAAGAAAGAGAAAAGACAGTCCCCGCTCCCTGGAGTTTGTAGTCCAATGGGGGAGATGATATGCAAACAACTACGTATAAGCAAACTTATCTACAGGACAAATTGGAAATAATAAAGGCACTGATTCCTGGCTCTGATATTTACCGCTTGCACAACTGGGTCAATTTCACCTCTCCTGACCTGTTTCCTCTTCTGCAAAGCAGGCAAATCTCTGAGGCTTTATTAGTTTCTTTCCAGTCTGGACCATAATTTCATCTATATGTAGGTAGCCTGCAGATTAGCAATTCAGGGTTTTATCTCTTAAGAGATAAGGGCCTGAGGCACTTGGCAAACTATCACCTGCCCAGAGTCCCACAGCCAGTATGTGGCAGAAGCTTGAATTCAGGTCTTCCAGACACCAAGGAAACCAGATCCAGTGCCTGTAAATGTTATTGGAGGTTTGATAGGAGGCCTGGGCACCCATGTTAATAGCTAGTGGTAAAGTAGATAGAGGGCAAGGCCTAGAGTCAGGAAGACACATCTTCCTGAGTTCAAATCCAGCCTCAGAGACTTATTAGATGTGTGACCCTGGGCAAGTCACTTAACCCTGTTGGCCTCACTTTTCTTATTTGTAAAATGAGTTGGAGAAGGAAATCGCAAACAATTATAGTATCTTTGCCAAGAAAACCCCAAATGGGGTCACAGAGAGAAGTATATAATTGAAGATATGACTGAAAGTATTTACATAGCATCTACTAGATGCCAGGTACTGTGTTAAGCACTTTATAAATATTATCTCATTTGATCCTCACAAAAACCCTTCAAGGTAGGTGCTATTATTATCCCCATTTTATAGATGAGGAAACTGAGGCAATTAGTGGTTAAATGACTTGTCCAGAGTTACACAGGAAGCTTCTGAGACTGAAATAATAATAATAATAATAATAATAATAATAACAAACAAGAACAGCTAACACAGTACCTTTGCATTGTGCTAAGTACTTTACAAATATTATCTCATTTGATCCTCACAACAACCCTGGAGGTAGCTATTATTCTCCCCTCTCCCAATTTTACAGTTGATGAAAGGGAGGCAAACAGAGGTTAAGCGACTAGCTAGAAAGCCGTCTGAGGCGAATTTGAACTCAGGTCTTTCTGACTCCAGGCCTAGCGCTCAGCGGCGCCACCTAGCGGCTTAGGACGCAGAAGCAGGTGCTCTGGGAGGCCGGGGAGTCCCTCTCCGAGCTCACGCTGTAACTTGCGCATGGGAGCCAGAGGATCCAGGAGCAGAGGGAGGGGCTGGTGCGCCCTCTGGCGGCCGCGCAGGCGCCGTGCGGGTCGGCGCGTGCGAGGCGAGAGGCCGGAAGAGGCGGTGCATCCGGCGGGCGGCGCTTCCGCCCGGCCGCCGCCGCCGTCATGGGGGAGCTGGTGCGGGAGGAGCTGTCGGCTTTGGCGGCTATTTTCTGTGGGCCGGACGAGTGGGAGGTGGTGAGCTGCTCAGGTGACCGACACCCCCCCTTCCCTCCGCAGTCCCCGGCTCACTCGTGTTTCTTCGCGGTCTCAGAACAAACACCGCAGGGCCTCCTAGACCCTAGGGCTGCGAGGGAGCCTAGAAATCCTGTGTTACCGCTGAGGAAGCTGAGGCTCGAGGGAGGGGCCGAGTCCGATCTCGGACTCCGGGGCCCTGACCCTCAGGGGTGGGAGAGGTCACAGAATTTTAGTGTGGCTGTGGGAAATGCCTCCCATTTCCTTGGAGCTAGTGAACATCCCACGAGGTACCCCCAGTGGATCTGAGGATTGATTTCAGTGGAGTCCGTGAACTTGGATTGGGAAAGAATACACCCTTACTTTCACACCTTTGGCTTCATTTATTATTATAATTATATTTGCATTTTGTTGTGCGTTTAAAGGAAGGCGTCTTTGGCGGCACGCTGCTGAAGGGGCCCATGAACCCTGGGTTTGAATCGTGACCCAGATGCCAGCTAGTTGGGTGAGCAGGGCACCTGACCTTCCTGACCCTCGATTTCCTCATCTGAAAAATGGGGATAATATCTGTAGAGCCTAGCTTAGAAAGGGCTGGCCGTGGAGTTCCGGTAAAAGATTGGACTCATGAAAGCTGCTGTGTGATCTCGGACAAGTTACTTTAGCATCCTGGTGCTACAGGCAGTTCTAAAGCCATAATTTGCAGAAAAGCTGCCTTGGTGCCAAGGGAGTCAAAGTTACAGGTTTGCACCCTTCCCTTCACAAACTCTTACCACACAGGGTTATTACGAAAATTAAATGAGACACTTACATGCAAAGTGCTTTATAAATCTTAAAGAAATATAAATGCCAGCTATTAATATTTGGAATAGGATCTAAAGGGTGTATGAGTAAGGGCATTTGTCTATTTGTATATGTATGGGATTACCATATTTGTGTGGGATTGTTTATATACTCTTCTAGGAAACTTGGTAAGATTTGTACCATCAAAATAGCGGTTACTTCACCATCCTGCCACCCTATTGCTATATATCCTGTTCACTTGTTTGCGTTTTATTTCCAATACCTTTTCTAGTTCTTCCTTTGCATGCTAGTTGCTTATTCACAAATCCTCATTTGAGCATAAGCGTAAGACTACCACAGGGACAGTTGCAATTTATTTGTCTTCCTCCACTGGGGAAGATTAAAAAGTAGGGAGATTGTAAATCCTCAGAAAGAAAAAGGAAAAGAAAAAATCCTCCAAACCAAGTCAACATATGCTTTGGTAATTTCAGTGCAAAGATGGGCTCAGGGAAGAATGTTGAAAAACATGTTGGGAAATATGGTCCAAAGGTGCCACAGATATGTAAGCCTCTCAGAAACTTCATGCTTATATATTATGAATAGTTTCTTCCAGAAACTCATTGGAAAGACATTAGACATGGTGAGCACTGAATAACATAAAAAATGAAATTGACTGTATCTAAACAAACAGGAAATGGCTAGTTACTGATGTGAAATTCTGAAAAGAAACAGCTGTCTGTGTATAATCATACCATTGACTAGTTAGAGTAAGGGTTACAATTGGCATAAAATTAGAAGAAAAGCCACGGATGAGAAGACACTGTTTGTGGGCGTAATAGCTTCGATCTGACCTATTCATATGGAACGAGCTGAAAATTGGGAAATAGAAAATGATAAAGATACTGCCTTTTATTATCACCATTTCTTGCAAAAGTATAGCTTAAGAAAAAGCAGTGCCTCCAGTGAGGAGAAATAAAGGCTCAGACTGCGTCATTCAATAAGCATTTCTTAAGTTCCTACTAAATTTGAAGCACTGTGAATGGAAAAACCAAAATAAAACAGTCATTGCCCACAAGTGCTTACATTTTATTGAGGGAGATGTGTATAAATATCCAAAATATATAATAAATTAGTGGGGAGGGAGATGCTTGGGGAGTTTGAAGATTATTTTGGAGGAAAAGGTATTCCTAAAGGTGAGGTGGAAGTACATTCCAGGAATGGGTGACAGTAGGGAAGCCAGTTTGGACTATAGAGTTCCAGAAGGGAAGTAATTGATAAAGAGGGTGGGAAAGTAAGTTGGGTCCAGGTTGTAAAGTTCTTTGAAAGCTAAATAAAGACATTTCTATTTGATCCCAGAGGCAGTTAGAAACTGAGGTATTACAGAGGGGTGGGGGTGTGGAGGGAAGGAGTATTATGAAACCCAAGACTGAACTGTTCCCTGAATGGATATACCTTATTCAGAAGAAGCAAGATAGATGAAAGGGGATCAGGTGGGAAGGAGTGTACAGTTAGTAGGAAATCCAGAGACTACAGAAAGTAAGTATGATGGAGAGTATTTGGTGAAAGTCAGTGAAAAAGCAGAAATTGTCACTAGAGTATATTAGAGACCACCAGGACAGAAAGAAGAGTGGTAGATGAGTTTGGGAAACATCCCAAGCACAGAGGCAATGGTATACAAGAGGTGGAGGACTTAATTTTTTTAAACATGTTAGAGCTCTTTCAGTCAAAAGAAGAACATCTAATAACTTATTGACTGGCCTTAGTGATACTTTCATTTTAAAAAAATAGAAAAGATCCAATAAGGGGAAATTCTGTTCTAGATTTGATTCTCACTAGCAAGGAGGAACTAATTGCTGAGGTGGAAGTAATGGGAACCTAAGGAGAAGGGACCACTCCTTTTATTATTATGTGTGTGTGTGTGTGTGTGTATTTTTTTTAGGCAATGGGGCTAAGTGACTTGCCCAGGGTCACACAGCTAGTAAGTGTTATGTGTCTGAGGGCAGATTTGAACTCAGGTCCTCCTGAATCCAGGGCTGGTGCTCTCTCTACTGCACCACCTAGCTGCCCTGAGACCACTTCTTTTTACAGGTGGTTTTGGAGGAGAGAAAATCTAGGCATAGTTTAACATGAACTCTATGTTTTGAGAAAGCGAATTTTCAGAGTTCAGAGTAAAGATAGATAGGAGCCCCCTAGAGTAAAATACTTCATGGGAAGTCACCCCAGGAGTGATTGGAGAGGCTCAGGAATGAAATTCTGAAGACACAAAGGGAACCATTTGTAATGAGAAGAAATGAGATATGCCTGAGGAGACCCTATGTACATGCACACGGACTAAACAACTCAGAGTTTAAAAAAGGTGCATAGAAGATGGAAGCAAGGCCGGGTAATGGAGTGTGGCTTGGTCAGGAATGGTACATTTATGTCAGGAATTCTAAAGCTCACAGTGAACAGGGGGTAGTGATAGAAGCTAAGGACAACTAAATGATTCTAAAAAAATTTATATTGGGAGAAAAAGGTGGGTTAAAGAAGAAATAGGATCTCGACTTGGTATATATGGGATAACTGTCAATAGAAATGACAAGAATGACCAACGTGGAGTTGATACCCAAGACAAGTAAGGAGATACAAGTAGTGTCTCATACTGTTGTTGTGGAGAGATGGAAAGAGATGGATTCAGACTGTTTGTTTGACCAAACTCAGAGTAAATCATTGTTAATGTGGTGGAAGGTCTCTACTGGAGTACCCCAGAGATTTGTGCTTGGCCTTGCGATATTTATTATCTTTATCAATGACTTGGATAAAGGCATAGATGGCATGCTCATCAATTTTGCAGATGACACAAAGCTAAGAGGGAGAGGTAATCTAGTGGATCAGTCAGGGTCCAAAAGGATCATACTAGGCTAGAGCAGGGTTAACCTGAGGTCTATGAATTCTTTTAAAAAATATTTTATTAACTACTTCAATATAATTGGTTTCTTTTGTAATTCTATTTTTAAAAAATGTATTTAAAAGCATTTTGAGAGAGGGCCCATAAGTTTCACTAGATATCTCTATATCAGAAATACATGTGTGTAATATGTATGTATATTTATGTATAGGTATATGTATGTCATGTGTATGGAGATGATTAATCCCATGGGACTTGGTAAGCATATAGGGAGGGAAGAGAAGAGAGCCCAAGACAGAGACTTCATGATTAGGGGCTGTGATGTGGATTATGGATGTGTCAGTAAAGGAGAATGAGATATAGTGACCAAACAAGTATGAGGAAAACCAAGTCAGCAGATACTTGATCTTCTTTTCTAAGGGAGAGAGATTGCAGCCTAGGGCAACACTACTTTAGAATATAAATTCACTTGTATAATATGGAGGAAAATAGCACAATGTTGTAAGTAGCATTGCTTCTTAAAACAGTGAAAATCAGTGGATGTGAAAAGTCTATGGAAAGTTTGGCCAAAATCATTTCCTAGTCATGTATTTAAATAATCCACTGATAACCCAGATGTACAAAGACGAAAATCTACTTTCTATCTTTCCAAGTTTATGTTACTGTCATTTTGATTGGTATTTGATTGGTATTTTACTTAAGGCAGGCATGTGGCACGCACACGTCCCCGCGCACACACACACACACACACACACACACCCCCATACACCCCACACCCACCCCTGACCTTGACAACCCTCTGAACCAAATACTGTCACATTGATGCTGACTTCATTTTGCGTCTTTTTCATTTTCTCATTGGCTCCTG